ATTTTAGGTCTCTACGTCCATCCCATGGGGAATGGGAGCAGTAACAAAGGTGTTGCGTTTATATTTTTGTTGAGTGTACAATTCAGACCATTCTTTGCTGTACCCTAAATGTAAAATAGAGGAGGGCAACCTCACGCACTGTCTATGATCCTGCTGGAAAATGCAACAATTTTGGTTTGTCATAAAGTGTGAACTGGATAAGATCTTCACCACTGACACTGAATGTAATCCATTGTGTATGCTACTTGGAGTGGCGAATGACAAAATCAGGGGGAAGTTTAGAAAGCAGGTCTACAAGCTTTTAAAGTTCTCTGCAAGGAAATGTGTCCTTTTGAACTGGATCAAGGACACGGCCCCATCTAAGACTCAATGGCACTGGATAGTACTGGAACATGTGTGACTAGATTTCCTAACATGTAAGTTACATACTAGGGGAAAGAGGTTTCATAAAATATGGGTACCATTTATGGCGTATGCCGGTTTGCTGAAAAGGCTGCTGCTATTTTACATATGAGTATAGCTAACTGTATCTCATAATCAAAGTGTCTGGATCTTTATTTATTTGTATTCTTGAGCCGGGTTGTCTGTTTTGTCTGTTCTGTTGGTTTTGTTTTGTTTAATGGCGGTGTTATTGTAAAAGTTTAAAACTCAATAAATACATGGAAGAAAAAAAATATGTGAGAGCAGCACAGTGATGCTGACTGCACTCCTCTCTCCTCGTGACTCTGCCTCTCCTTCTCTAAATTCATCTCAGGTGTGAGGGACTAAGACACTATGTGAGGAGGTGAGGAGAGGAACTGAGGATGCACAATCTGAAAAATAAAACAGGGGTGTGTTACCCCAGCTTAAAATATATATATATATAAAAGTAAATATCACAGAGCACTTTTAATCTGGGGAAAAGAGACTAACTGTAAAAAAACAACAACAAAATAAACCAAAACATATACCTCACATTATGTGATATCTCATGTTTGTTTTTTGGCTGCAGCCTTTTTCCTTCTTAATGATATATTAAAGTTTGTACACTCCTGTTTAGTGTCTGGGAACTAAACTCACATCTTTATATTTGCTGCATATATACATAAAATTTAACTGAATGAGGTAAAGTCCTTCACCTTAACCATCACATTGATTCACATACTTCAAACCTACACTCAGTGTATGAGTCGCTACCTTCGTGGCTTGTGGACAAACAGTTACAATGATTTGATTATTATTAATTAAAATAATTCAAATGAGTTCGTAACTGTAACTTAAAACATGTGATAATGATCTGCGTGCATATTCAGATAGATTCATGTATAAATGCAGGTGAATTACTTTTTCCTTCTCCTCTACGGGCAAAGATCTAATTGTCGGTTGTTGTTTCATTCAGACTCTCTTCAGGCCTGTCAGCTCAAACTCAAGTCACACCTGAAGCACAAGTTCCAGTGTGTGTTTGAGGGCATCGCTAAAGCAGGCCCAACCCTCCTGA